GGCGCCCAGCCCAGATTGCTGGTCACCACGATGTGAGGTCAGTGTTTCCATGGTGATGGAGCAGATGAACAGTAATCTGTCCTTGTTTTTGCACTGTGGAAACAGGACGAGCGGGCGGAGGGGAGTGAGGCAGGAGGGGAGGGGGAGTTGTGAGCATGCATTAGCATGTGTGTGTGAGCTCTCCCTCCTCCACCCCCTCCTTCCTCTCCTCTCTCAGGAGTGAATCTGCAGCCATGCACTGTAGATCGTGCAGGAGCCGGTGGGAGATTAAAAGGTGCTGATGATCTGGAGCAAAAAACGAGGTCACCGCATCCGGGCAGCATTTCACTGCTGCTGCTGCGTAATCAGGTGGAGAAGGGGGTGGGGTGGGGGCTGTAGCAGACGCACCACAGGACAACAGGAAGAAGGGCAGGAAAGGACAGTGATGTACAGACAGCTGCGTAGTGTCGCACAGTAACACAGGTCCATGTTTCTCCACTGCTGCTTCAGTCTCGCCACTTTAATTCCTGACTTTCACCATCATCTGCACTTTGGAGATTTTGATTTTATTCCATTATACATGTGCAGTACTTTGCTGTCTATACTGACAAACAGTTGTCACACAATTAAGACTAAGCTCGAAATGTTTCTGTCAAAGACAGAACTTATTTGAAGAGGGTGGGATGTGCTGCTGGAGGGCGAAGTCACGTTTCCTGCCTCTGCCACTGGATGTTAATAGTCATTTACAGCTACTGTCTTTATTTGACGGGACTGATGACACCATGCGCGCATGCGTGCGTGTGTGTGTGAGCGACGGGGGTCAACCTTTTGCATTCATGGACACCGTGGAAGAGCAGCCAACTGCAATACATTTTAGGGAGCATCACTTAAGCGCCGTAGGTGAGAACACACTGCCTCCAGTGTGACCTGAAGCTGCCCAGTCCTGTAGGGAGTCGACACCCTGGCGGACAAACCCCACCGCGCGTCGCCAGTTTCCAGAGTGAAAAGGGCCAAATCTAGAAAACGTGTTTGTCTTTACAAACCGCAGCTGCTGCACATTTATCATCTCTGACTCTGCTTTTATTTTATTTTTTTACCTCCCTCTCTCCTCTACCCCCATCCCATCCAACATCTTTCAAAAAGACCTCCTGATTGGCCAGCTGGCTGTGCGGGGGCAGGAGGCAGCAGCCAATCCCGCGCTCCCTCCATTTCCCTGCCCCTTCTCTTTCTTTCACACCCTCCGTGAATATCCTCCCTTCCTCTCCTCCTCTTTCCCAAAACCACAATTGAACTCTGCAACCCCCCCCTTTTATCTAGAAGAACAGTAGCGTTTCTCGACATGGAGGGACTCAGCTCACACAATGGACCCCCCCCTCGACACATCTCAGGTTGCAGTGCAGCAGCTCAGCCGGAGCTGCAGCCTCTCTGCTCACGCTCAGGCTATAAATAACTTGGCCGCCATCTTTTTTTTTTGTTTTGTTTATTGAAAGCCGGGGGACGGCAATGTGATGAGGGTCATGTGACTGACCCTCAGCATTAGTGCGCTGGTATAAAGCAGTAAATGGAGGAGATATTACATACTGAACAGTGAGGGAGGGGCTCTAGTCTCCAATAGGACGGCTGGATGTTTTCCATCCTAACGTGTTCCGGTGGTGGTGTACACACATCATGGCTGTAGGGGACAGGGCCGACTCCCAGTTGCTCCCTGAACTCTGCAACCACGACATCTATGCAACACTGGCTGTCAGTTGTTTCAGCTGAACTGGCATTGCTGCTGGTGGCGCCTCGTCATAGGACCCAAACAGACCTCTTTCACCCATACTCTTTTTCACTACAATGTTGGTTTAAACTCTGTGTGCCAAGCCATTTGTTCAACAATTGATACAAGATAGCACCCAGTGTGCCTGATTTGCAATTTTTCCAGTCCTGAATCACATCACAGTCAGCCATCATGAAAAATTAATATGCCACACGTGACGCTGTCCGTTTGAGAGACTAAACATTTCTAATACATAAAGTATCTATCCAATATCTATCTGACTAAAAATACCTAACAGCATCAAACACTGAACACGAATCAAATCTGCCGCTCTGGTTATTTAACGACAAGGCTGCCAGAACGAGCACAAACATGTAAGCTGTGACCAGCTAGGCCAACATTTTAACACGTCATCGCAAGTGTTAGGTATTTTTAGTCAGATAGATATTGGTTAGATACTTTATGTATTAGAAATGTTTAGTGGAGATAGGATGTCTAGTTAGACTGTTAAATGCTTAGTCATGCTTATGAGTTTCTACAGGGTACATCTGTTCAAGGATAACTAGAGAGAAGAGTTGATGACTGTCAGCAGACAGGATGTTTAATATTATTATTATGACGTGTATAACTGTAGCCTTAGCCATAATATGTTCTTATGTTTAATATCACGACATGTCACTAGAGGTCATGAAAATGTTTTTAGCTACACACCACTTAACCAACAGACACACACTCACATTGATTTGCTTCATGTTTTGACTACTGCTATGACCAGCTGCAAAGCTGGCAACAGAGACGTCTCGGTTGACGTTTCTGTGTAGTATGGGGCTAGCCCAACCGAGGTGATATAATGTATAGGCCTGGTGGGTTCAGGGTCTTTCATCTGCCTGCGAGCAGGTTGGAGGTGCAAGATGCCTGAGCGTGTAATGTTAATTTTTACCTGTGTTCATGGAATAAATCAGCACTGTTTTGAAGTTACTTGGACTGCCTCGTCTCTCAGAGTCAGTATGGTAAAAAGTACCGGGTACAACACAAGTAAACAGGTATTCTTAAAGCTGTAACTGCCTTCTGGCCCTTTGGCAAACAGCCACCCAGCCTCACGGCACAGTCCTGTCGTTTTGTAAAAGCTGTGCCTTTGGGACCAAGCGCAGCCAAAGAGCAGCTAACACGACTTGGTGTAGTTCATAGAAACACAACTCCGTCTGTTGTCAGTCTGTATCTCCGTCTGTCCCCTGGAGGACAGCGGACTGACGACCCACGGCAGCAACTGGTCGCTCTGTGACCATCTTCAAATAAACTGCATAAACATGGTGTTCACATTACAGTTATCCACACGTGCATGTACAGTATGTACTTATACATCAAGCTCTCAGCACACTCAGGTCATGTTCTGCTCAACTGGTTCTGCTGGTTTGAGTATTTTGACAACCTGATGAGGAGTTTATGTACAACTGCAGACACACAGGAGACTTGGCGGCTAGTTCTGATATTCCATACCTTCAGTATCTTTAAATGTCAGTTTAAATAAACATCAAATTTTACAATGTTTTTGAGTGAATGTAACTTTGGTTAAAAGGTTTGAGCTCTGGTTAAAGTCAGGAACTGGGTTTTTAGGGTGACAAAGTACTTCAGACATAACGTGAATAAGAAGATCCATATGCGCTGATGTGCTTCCAGGAGCTCCGGATGTTTATTCGGTACAAGTTGAATTAGTGCTTAAACCTTCAGTCTGAGCTCGGATTGATTCGGACACACACACACACACACACACACCCACACACACAAACACACACACACACCCACACACCGCGCTGTGACAATGATGACAGTGTTGTACGAGGCTGCCCAGTCACATCAATACTGACCGTGACAATGTTCACATTTAGCTTGATGCTGAGTGAAGAAGACTCAATGAGGCGCTTGTTTGATGTCCACCTGCCGAGGCCTGCTGTGACAAGGCAGACACCTCCTCACCTGTGCTGCATCACGCTGTGGGAGATATTCTGCTTCCCCCCTGCACTACCAGAGCAACCAAACTCCTAGAGAAATGTTATGTGAACATGATTCTGTAATGACCACAGGTTAAAGGGATAACTCCACATCTGGAGGTCCTCTCTTCTGCTGGGCCTCTGATGCCCTGACTGACACCAGCCTCGTGTCTCTACGTAGAGGAATGTGAAACTACAACCTGCAGCTGGTTAGCGCAAACAGGGGGAAACTGGCAGCCTGGCCCTGGTCCCAACGGGACAAAGACCGCCTCGCAACATCACTATTCCTCCAGTCACAAAGTCTGCGCCTGTTGAAGCAACGAGCACCACACAACATGAACTCCTACAAATCGAGCCTTGTCTCATAACTACAAAACAATTTTTCTGCTCTTACAATAAGCAAATGGCCCCCCGGCTGTGTGCTGACTAATTTTTGGTGTCTTCACGGGAGCTGGGAAATGACGTTGACCATTTCCCCCTTTAACGTTTATATTAAGTATATCATTATGTAATGAAAGGTTTCTAAATGGAATTGTTGTAGGCAGATACATCGTGGTTACATAAGTATTTGTCAACTGGAGTCCCAGAACTCTGTAGAGACAAACACCGCACATTAACACTTGAAATGCTCTTGTATTTACATAAATCTACATTACAGAGCGTGACAAACCACTAACAAATGTTTATGTAAATGCTAAACGGGGTGTTAGTGACTTCTAACTTCCCTTCTGACTCCCAACAACCAAGAGGAATGTGTTCGACCTACAGCTCTGCACAGCACTGATGTTTTTGAAAAGCCGAATCACTCCATTCCAAGCTGTAACCCCCAGAATAACCAGACAAGTATTGACGGAGCAGTGACTGGCAGTTCTCCACAGGCCGCAGGGTCACGATGCGACACCATGGCAGAGTGAGTCCACCAGATTCCGAACAGTGAAGCCGTCATCCTCAGAGGACAAACAGAATGGAGCGATGGCTGGACATTTAAACCAGTCATCAGCATCCACATGCGATGAGTCCAAGTGCTGCTTCTCCTCAAATATTCATGTCCCTGGAAATATTCACACTGAGCAGCGTCTGAGTTGGCTCTTACCTCAGAGCAGGGGTCCAGGTTGAGTTTTAAGGAGACTGATGATGTTATTCATCAGTAGGAGGGTCATTTCACCCAAACCAAACAGCTCACTGGCAGCTGATAATATCCTGCCATCCAGTTTGTGTGTGACTTTATTAAAGGTGGTTTTACTTCAGTAGAAATTATTGTACTACTTAATGCAAACAGTTGACAGGGCTTTTATTTTGGAATAAACATGTTAGTCAGCAAGTTAACTCTGATAAGCAGTGAATCATCTAAGATCATTTTGAGGCAAAGGTGCCAAAACTCCACAGGCTTCGAGTGTCTAAGGACAAGTCACCGAGTGCCTCTGGGTTCTCATCTGTGTCGTCACCACTCTGCAGATGTGGGACATGCAGGTTTTCACCATTTGACATTCACAAACCAAACGGTGACATGGACCAGTAATGTCATCCGCAGGTTAACTGGCAACATGACAAACACAGCTGCAGCCTAATGTAGTCGGGTGGCAGCAGAAACCTCTGCAAACCGGCCGGATGCAATGACGGGGTACTGGGGAAAATAACCTGAGGTTTAGGAAAATAATGATTTCAACAATAAAGACCTAACGCAAAAGAGTCGAGGTAATCGCACGACTCATTCTATATGATTAACCTCAAACTATCACATTTTTTTCTCAAAATATTATAAACAACATTCCCAAAGTTTTCGCTTCCTGGTCCTCATACTCCTGCTTAAAGACGCCATCGGCATTAGTGTCAGTTTGTGATTTGGATGAACTGACCTGCTACAGATTTCTCTGTTGCTGGTAACAACAACCTGGTGCTTCCTGCTGTAAACCCTTCGCTGAAAGACGTCCAGTCCGCATCCTGCACTTCATCTAGTTAAACTCAGTGGTTGTAAGACGCACCAGCCTACAGCTCGTTTGTCTGTGCTGCCAGTGGTGAACAAATTGTTCCTGCCTGACCAGGTGATGCGTTTGACCGATCGCATGCGATGGGCAGAGCTCCTGTGTGTAAAGCTGTCTGGGAAAAGACAGCTGAACGTTAAGAGCACCAGGCCTTCTCTGCCTTATGTGAAGTGCACATCATTGCTTTTGTATGCCTCATTCATCTCAGACCCGTCTCATGACTGGTGAAGTTGTGGATAGTTTAATGAACAGCGGGGTTTAACTGTGACAGCAGCTGTGAACGTCCACAGCAGGATCGTCAAAAAACAGCAGAATAAACTGGAGAGTCACAATTTTACCAACACCAAGGGATCCTTTCAAAATAAAATCCCTCCTGTTCTAAAAATGGCTGGCGAAACAGCTCGAGCAGCTGCTGGGTGACAATGTCCACAGAGGGGAGTCAGTTTTGTGGCCTGTAAATGTGAGGGACTCAGAAAAACCTGGATCTGACTGAAAACCTGGTGCGTGAGTGAGTTAGAAGTCCAGAGCGATTTTCTTTCTGCAGGAGTGGAACTGAGGGAATGACGACAAACCAACAGGGAAGCGGCTTCTTACTTCAACGACGACAAGCTGAAAGAAAGACATAGATTCAAAGTCACACAGTGCAATAATGATGCAGCAGTGAAGGCCTGTGGCCTGAAACTAAAGGCCTGACATGTATAAACCCTTCTGTCGGCTCCAGAGCCGATATTTTATCCAGGATGGGTTAGCCTAGCTTAGCACAAAGACTGGAAGTAGGGGGGAAAACTACTAGCTTAGCTCCAGAAAGAAAACATCCACCTTTCAAATGCACCAAGTCTGTCTGATTTACATAATGTATCCTAATGACTAAACAGGAACAGCAACTACTTTCTACATGATCCTGACACTCTGGAGGGCAAAGAGCAGGGTTTATATCAGGGATGTCATGTTTTCAGATGAAAACAATAAAGGTCTTGTTTCTGTATTTGAGCTGCAGACATATGAAAAACAGAGCCCAGCAGCTGACACTGGCAGGAAACTGGGCCCCACTGGCCTGCATGATAATGCATAATACATAAGCTACAAACCATTTTAGATGGTTTGAAACAGGAGCCTGTTCTGCTGAGGCGTCGTGGTGGACAGGAGAAATACTGACAGTTAATATCACCGCAGAACAGTCCTGTTCACTGACGTGCAACAATCTACAGGGTATTAAAGGCCTAACTATGACAGAACCGGTGTTCGACACTCTGAAGGACAAACTGACAATCGCACATTGCCCCCAACACGAGAAAAATGTAAAACACGATCAAGTCTCAACATGATGCAGACATCATTGTGTTCGCTGCATGAAGTGTCAAAAACGTCCCTGCTCTTCTTCGACTAGTTTTTTCCAGACTTCAGTCAAAATGCTGCTACTTTTACTGCATTCGGGCTCTTGTGTTTCATATTTGACGTTTTTTTCTGTTGAATGAAAAAAGGTTTGTAAAAATAACCGACACATTTTAAAGGTAACAGCTCTGTTCAAGTTTCACTCCCTAGCTCTCAGACTCTGGCATGTGACAAGCCACTTTAGGAGGACTCACTTGAAACTCTTGTCGTCCTGCAGGTTGAGCACCAGGCTGTCAGCATTCAGGTACACTTTGTTCTGGGATTGCGCCACCTGCAGGATGGACACAAACACACAGGGAGTGAGCAGAGAGAGAAACCAGGTGGGACATTTCTCAGCCCACAGGCCCAATAGTACTGTTGTCAAGCACAATGGGAACTTTGTCAGAGCTTCGACACCGAGCTGGTTCACGACACTGAGGGCTGCTGTTCGCCATCAGAGCAGGAAACAGGCTGCTGCCACCTCATCGCGGGCTCCGGGTGACCAGACACTGATCTGCGGACTCGGGGTTTGAGTCAGCAGATCAGCTCAGACTGTACGTGAATGGTTTAATCACAGATCCTCTGTAACAAAGAAATACATCATAGACTGCTGGAGATCAGTGTTTTCTACAACCTTTATAAAACAGTAAGAACAGTCAGAGGACAGTGAAAAGTTAAATGTCAGAAAGCTAAGATCCACTGTGTGTTACAGGTGTGAGCTGTTAGATCTCTTTACAGGCTTCAGTTTCGTCTATAACAGAAAGGAGTGTAAAGTCAGTTCATCAAGTTCAGCCCCGAGGGGAACACTAAGGCGTATTTACACTGTCTTCACAAACAGATAACAGGTAACCCTCGTCCTCAGGTTCCAAACACAGGTGTCCTGCAGTACAAGCCCAGAGGTGTGATCATTTCTACAGCACAAACATACAAATAAAACAGTCAGAATAAAATCTATAGTAGTGCATACTGCTGCTCGTCACATGATGCGACATTAAAATGAGGGATTTCCTGCTCAAGTTTGTTGGCTCCAGTTGGTCCCTCTACAACGGGTCCCTGCTGATACAGAGCCCAGTCTGATGCTACATGCTCATTAAGGAGACAGAACACAGCCAGGTTCAGTAAAGACAGTACTTTGCTTTGGCTAATACAATCCATCAAAATAAGCCAGAGTCTGATCTTCAGGAACAGCTCATCACCTCTGATTCAAACAGCTGCTGCCAGAGCACAAGGTTGTATAACAAGCAAGAGAACAGGCTTAATCAGCTCTAACAAGGTTTATCACACTGCAGCTGATGAACAAGTAATGACAGCATGTCCTGGATATGCTACAAGAATCCCCAGGGTTCAAGAGCCTTTATTTGTGGAGCCATTTTCACCTCATCTCCAAATTGTCCACAGTTTGAACAAGCAAAATGAACCATGAGCTTTTACACCTCATGTAGGAGCATTTGAAACGTCTTCAAATCCAGCCTGTGTGAGCAACATCAAAGGTCAGAGGAGAGAATACGAAGAGGATCCAGAGGACAAACCCTCCTGTCCTGTGATGTCTCCTCTGCCGTCTCTCAGATTTGTGTTCCTGTGCTGCCACCTGGTGGATGTTAATGTGTGAAGTCTTAAAGCACCAATATTGTGCTGCGTTTGCTGCTCCATTTCCAGTTAACCTCAGTTAATGCAGCAGGTGATACTCCCTATATCCACACCTAAAACTGAAGCCTTCCTTTAGGCAGTGGCTTCATTTTGCTTCCACCAAATTTCACTGAATTTTGAGATACAGTGAAGAGAGACGAGCAGGACCGAAGGGCAGCAGGACTGAAACATCGACACGCTCCATATGAAGACATCCACACTCCTGCAGCTGCATTTCAACAGCCAGTCATGTCGGCATTCGTCTGGCATTTAAAGCCATCAGTGTGTGTGTGCATGTGCATCAGACACCTGATCAGGTATGGTTTGTTGTGTGACTATGTGCAGGAGGCATGTTACTGTGTGTGTGCTCCTTTTGACACTTTTTAAAGTCAGGAATGTGAATGGGATGTTGGTGTGGCTTAAGGGTGTTACAGTACATTTCTGTCATTCTGCCTTCAGTTTGACTGCTGCAGGCTGGAGATGGATGAAACCCAGCAGCTAAATCTGGTGCACATTGTCTCGCTTTGTTCAGGATCCTAGTTTGTGCAGCTTGCCAGACCAATACATTCAACACACAAACCCTTCTCACCGTCTTGGCGATGTTCTGCGCCGCCCGGATCTTCCTGAGTTTCAGGTAGCCTGGGTTCTTGGTCACGGCCTGGCCCAGCTGTCAAACACAAAACACACACTTGAGCTGTTACAGTAACACACCTACAGCACAAAGAGTGCAGACGGCCTGAGGCTGAGCAGCAGCAGGCTGAGCCAGTCTGAAGATTATCAGTTTCATCTTGAGCCGCATCAACGCGAGGAGTGCAGCTGCAGCTTTGATCTTCTCCCACAGGGAAAGTCATTACTGCATATTTGGCTGAAGTGTTTGTTTGATACGCTACTGTTTCTCTCTGCAGTTTTGACACGAGGCCAGTGAGCTTGCATCAGAGCAGGGATTTATGTGAGGTGAAGCTCTGAGGCAGTTTCAGGTGTTAGATTACAGGAAAGCTAATTGGAGTTTAATCCAGTTTCATTTAATCTAATCCTCTTGCTGCAGACAACATGCACTCATTGTTCAGTCTAATCTAAATCTTCACAAATCAAACTTGTTCCATGATCTTTTAAAGTGTGCAGCTCTCACACACCTGAGAACAGGCTGGACACAGGTGAAACCACCTGGACAACAGCTCTCACCACTGAGTCACAGGAACCTGCTGATCTCTAGTGCAGGGTTTTAGTTTTGGTCTGGAACATCTGACGTCTGCTCTTTGGGTAGGCTTTAATTTCAGTTCTTGTCAAATAGTACATCTAGTGCACACTTGGGTTTTGTGTGAGCAGATTAGGGCTGGCTGAAGGGAAGTGCTTCCTCTCTAACAGAAAAACCACATTTGAGAAGCTGCCATCAGTGAATGTTTGGCATTTTGCATGAGAAGTGACAGCTGATTAGAATAGAATAAACTTTGTCATTGTGCAATAAGAGCACAACAAAACTGAGTTTCCATGTAGTGCCAATTCTTCACACTTCTGACAGCACATGCACATTCATGTTATGATCAAGGAGAGAAACAAACAGTTAATGGACCAGATGCCGTTTGTTTCTGCCTCACACAGACAAGATCAAGGACTTCATCAGCAAACTATAACATGAAACAAAAGGCATAAAGAGCCAATATTAATGTAATTCCTTCTCACCGACTCACAGCACTGCCAGAACTGGGCTATAAACAAGTCACTTGGTGCTTGGAACTGATCTAACCTGCTGTCTGCAACATGCTGTTGTTTAATCTAAATCTTCCCGAATCCAACTGTGTCCCAGTTTGCTGCCACGTGGCCCCGCCCCTCAGAAGACCTAACACATCCATTTTACTAATTATTAAAGTACCAAACTCCCACAGAGACTTTATCTGTGTCTATGAACCTCTATATAGTATGTGGAGGTTTTTACTGGTGTGTGTTTGTTGGTTTGTTCACAGCACAACTTAAAAAGTAATGAATGGATTTTGATGAAATATTTCAGAGAAGTAGACTGTGGTGCTGATCTAGATGCATGATTTTTTTTAAAGGGTTCTTGATTGCTGTGCAATAGGGCCTACTTCAATATCTTTGCTTCTAAGTCCAAACAATACCTCAGCAGGCAAAGCAGGCAAAGCAGGTGAAATCATCGCTCGTCTGCAGGTTGGTGCTTGTTGAGCAGCTGGTATGAGAAATTAGCTCACACAAGTTTTTACTGCACTTAGAGTAATGAGGGCAGATCATCACCTTGAGTCAGTTTAACTTCACTTTAACCTGGTGCCTTTCCCTCCTCTTTGGCTACTCCACCCTGCATGCGTGTTGATTTAGACCCAGGTCATCACTATCAACACAGGTCGGGTGAAAAGGTCTGGTTCAGTCACTGAGTATAAAGGCTGACATACCAGGTGAACAGTAAAATCTGACTCCACAGCAGGTTTTGTGAGCTGTAGTCTGCTTGTAACGCACAAAGGTAAATGTCTGTGGCTGCTGGTAAGTGTTTCAGTCTGATTCTTTAGAAAAAACAGGCTTAAACATCTCAAGTAAAACCTGGCATTGGGCTGAACTGCAGACCAGTTTAAGGTGCTCACACAGAAGACAGCGGTGCGTTCTCCTAGGCTGCATTTAAGCTTCTGAGATAAAACAAATGCATAACAACATGGAGCTAAACCCTTCCTCCATCAGCACAGATGACATCCGCTCACCATCTTGGCAGCCTCAGCTTCTCCCTCGGCCTGGATGATCTTGTGCCTCTGCTCCTGTTTGGCCCTCTCCACATAAAACTGAGCTCGCTGCGCCTCCTGCTGGGCTGCAGAGGAACAGGCACAGAGTTCATGGACAAACAATACTTGCACCTCTGTCCAAATAACAGGCAGAGTTCCCAACACATAAACCACAGGACAATGATGAAGGTTTGGCAGAACACCAAGGTGACCACACACTGAATGAGATGGATCACCTCTGCAGAAAGCTTCAAACCTCTGCAGGCTGACTCTCGTGCAAGTGCATCATTTCAATTCATTTAAATAGCTTCCACAATGTCAAAAATGGTGATTACATTCATACACAGAGAAGCACAAAGTGATCACACATTAGAATCAGCAGCTCTGTGACACAGTCTGAACATCACCACCTCCATGGAGGAGGATTTACTGCAGGACAGCTGGATCATACTGACTCAGACAGGCATTCCTAATAAACTGACCACCGAGGGTATGGCAAAGCAGCACATCTTCAAATGTGAAAAGCTGCTTCAGCTTTAAAATGACCCACATAACTAATCAATCAGTAAAACTATTTTTCTGTCAGTTCTGATCAGCTGACTAATGCACGAGCTGTACTTCATGAAGACAACTGTGGGACTCTGTCCAAAGCTGGGAACAGCTGAGTAATCTAATCTCAAAGCTGAAAGAGCACTGAGACAACGACCAGCAGAGTGATGCTCAGGTCTGTGGCTGCAGGACAAACTGTGGTCCGGCGGATACGTACCGACTTGTTTGGCCTCCACAGCGGCCGTGTACTCTTTACTGAAGCTGAGGTCGGTGATGGCCACGTCATCCAGGATGATGTTGAAGTCTTTGGCGCGCTCATACAGCTCCCTGCGAATCAGCAGAGAAACCTGCAGGACAGACACATTTCATTCACACTGAGGGGCAATATTCAGACACGATCAGAATTTAATGACAAGAACTCGGATCTGCTTCCTGTTTGATCAGCACATCGGTCACTGCTGCGTGGTTCAGAGCGACCCACCAACAGCCTCTATCCTCTCACACAAGTTCTTCTCAGTAAATAAATCCACATCTCAGGCCTCAACTCAGCTCTGATCTGTCTGTGTTGCTGCTTCCTGTCTGTGTGTGTCAGTGTCACCCGGCTCCAGTGTGAACACTGCTCAGCTCCTAAACCGCCACACAAAAATAACCAGGTGGTGTGTACGATGGTCAAAATGGCCCAGTTTACTCCCAAGCCGCTGGGTTAAGATATGTTACTTCCAGTATGGCCTGATCAGAAGCTTCTCCATAAACATCCACCACATGTGAAACGTCCTGGTCTCGCCACTGACCCAGTCACTATTGTCCTCCATGTTTATTGTTATGGGTCTGTGAGGGGCCGACACTGAATGATGATGACAGGCCGTATGTGCAGTGGAGGAGACGTTAAAATGACCACATGGATTCTGATCTGACTGTTCTAACAGCGCTCACACAGAGGTTAGAGAGGAAGCACATAAGCAGGTGGCCCAGATCTGGTCTGGTCTGGTCTGTTCACACTGCTGTGGACACATCAGGTCTGGGAAATGTCAGGTGGGATGTGGACATCATGCAAGGCATCGTATTAGATAAATGCATCCTTCTCTAATCAAATCATCACCTGACACCAGTGATGCTATTCTCGTCTGGTGGGATGTGGACATCATGCAAGGTATCGTATTAGATTAATGCATCCTTCTCTAATCAAATGATCACCTGACACCAGTGATGCTATTCTCCTTTACTTCTGTCATTATGGTGCCATCCTGTGGGGGCCATTTTGAATTGCTGAATTGTAGACTAATACACTCAGGGTGCACTTTATTAGGTACACCTGTTTGTTAGGAGATGTGGTCCAGATTATTTTTTTCTGGGTTTTTTCGGTATACTATGACCTGGCTGACTGAGCAGACATTTGTAAAAACCAAAATACTGCATTTGGATTGGGCCCCACCCCTAGTAGAAATGTAACCACCAACCTGTTAAATGTCTGTGCAGATTCTCAGTCATCCAGGTCGTAGTAGGCTGACTTGGAGGGAATCGACTGGACTGGGTTTCTAGGTCGGGGACGTTTCCCCTCTCATCCAAGATCAGAACCGATTAAGCCTCTTGGATGAGAAGTGAATTGTCTTCAACCTAGAAATCTAGTCCAGCTGATTTTTTTCCTAAGTTTTTTCAGTTCAGCTGTCCAACACTGTCTGTGGCAGGTTTTGGTGAAACTGTCATATGTATAAATGTAATGTTCTGTTTATTATTAAGATCATAGTTAAAGGTGTTGTTGGACTGGGCTGCATTATATTCAGATGGGTTCCTAATATTCTGAGTGTATATAGGGAGGACAGCAACAAAGGAGAAAAAAAAAACAAAACAACCCAGCAGCCAACAGGGAGAAGCCAGAGGAACAGAGGCAGCTGGAGTCTCATCTCTCATTGTGTGAGAGGGATGACTCGATGAAAAGACACAAGTGAGGGAAACGTGGACGTAACTGAGGGAAGTGGCATGCACCCCGTGACAGGTGTGTGCACACTAAGGCGTGGCATGATGCATCTGGTACCTGTGCTCTCTGTGTGATGAGCTGCGAGGCGTTGAACTTGGCCACCACACTCTTCAGCACCTCATTGACGATGGAGGGCAGGACGCGCTCATCATAGTCCTGTCCCAGGTGCTGGTAGAGGATAGGCAGGTTGGACGCCAGCGGCCGGGACAGGACTCGCAGCGTGATGTTCACCATCTGAAGGTCTGAGGAACCAGAGGGGTGATCGTCAGAACCAGAAAATCGGACTCCACCTACCATCTGACAACCACAACAAATGGCCTCCAGCATTCTTGGTCAGGACCCATTACATTCGTTTTTAAAAGAACTAAACTGTGGGACATATGGGATGTTTTACACTATATAGCTCAACTGATCAAAGCTCTCTTGGTCAAATTAATGTAGCCTCCTCAGACATTTGACTTTTTATTTTAACAGCCGAAAATACCTGACAATCTAAAACCAGCTGGTCAAACTACCCAATAATCATCATCAATTAGTGGTCACTCTGTTTGCAGCTTAATATACACACAAAACAGAAAAATACAAAAATATCAAAGGGCAAGAAAAAAAAGAAGTCTCATAAAAACAGAGCCACCAGGTAGAAAGCATTTGGCAGCTGAACTGCAGCGGAGAGAGCCATGCAACAGTTTCACAACCAGGTAAGACATTACGACGGTGACACTGAAAATGCCCAGATAAGGCCCAAACACCTGACACCTCCCAGGGAACTCAGTGGTGCAGAGACAAAACTAATCTCTTTGTTTCACTCCTGGAGGTTTGAATAGATTCTGACGACGTTGTTCAGGCTGCTTCTATCTTTCAGCTGTGAAGCCAAAAAATAAGAGACGAGTTCTGTTCTCTCCTTCACAGTAAGGTCTGTTTTAACATCAGTTTATATCTACAGACATTTGACAAGTGAGAGGAGCCTCCTGACTGACTGAAACCCAACAAGCTTGGTCACTGATCAATCAGCTGATCATTGTCCTGATAATCTGATTGATCTGTTTATCCCCAGAACATCAAACACTGGGAAGAAGTCCCACTGTGACTCTCCAGAGCCAAAGGTGGCATCTCCACACGTCTTGTTGTGTCCAACCAGCAGACCCTCAGCTGAGTCTCATGTCTGACAAAGAAAAGCATCAGCTCCTCACATTAAAGGTGGAACCAGAACATGTCGGTGACTGTTGCTTCTAAAAAGGTGCCGGTTCATTTTCTACCAGTGAACTGACTCGTGGCGGCAGCTCTATGTCACCGAGTGGCTTCATGAGGACAACACAGCGTGTAGGACACAGCAAAGGCATCTGGTTTGGAAGGAGGACGTTTCCTCCTCCGACAGAGGAGACCTGATGCTGCTCTGGAGACTCGGCCATGCTGTGTGGCGATTTGACCCGTTAGCTGTCACTATAGACTGATGTGTGGAGTGTGAACACTGAAGCTACAGGTTCTGTTTGTGCAGAGGTCGATTCAAACTTTCAGTCGTTTCACTAGAACGTGTCCGTTTGCTTTGCCTCTGTGTCAGTGTGTGACTGCAGCGCCTCTGTCTCACCTTTACTTCCAGTGAGCGAGGAGATCTTGCGAGGTCGAGCTCGGATGTCGTAGATGATGGGATACTGGAACCAGGGTACCCTGAACACGACGACGAATCAGAATCAGAGCACAGAAAACAAGCAGCAGCTACAGAAACACTGCCCTCACACTGAAACCACAGACAGACTACAGCAGCCGCAGCTCGTTTATTATGAATTCTTATTAAAAACAAGGTTGGTGGCCAATGAGTTGGTTCCTTGTTTTTCCCCTCTTCTTATGTTTATGACAAGAAATAAACTGAACACCATCAGCCACACTAGGTTATATGGTTATGTCCTTAAGACAATACACAGTACGAGGGTAAATACATGCACGGCTGTACTACTAACACATTCACTCAGTAGTACAGCTTGTAAAGGAAAAGCAGTGCACAAGGAAAGGTTTGGATTTCGACCATAAAAATGTTGAAACAATCTGATCAATCGAAGAAAAATTATTTGGTTATTAAAGCAGCTGTGAGTTTCACCACTAATATCAAGTACCTGTAAACTAGTAGTACTAACAGTAGCGGTATGTGGGGGGGGGGTCCTGCCTCA